TCTTTCTCTTTCTCTCTCTCTTTCTCTTTCTCTCTCTCTCTCTCTCTCTCTTTCTCTCTCTTTAACTTTCTCTCTGTCTCTTTCTCTCTCTCTCTCTGTATTTCTCTTTCTCTTTCTCTCTTTCTCTTTCTCTTTCTCTCTCTCTCTCTCGCTCTTTTTCGTTATCTCTCTCTCTCTTTCTCTGTCTCTCTCTCTCTGTCTCTTTCTCTTTTTGACTCTCTCTTTTTCTTTCTTTCTCTCTCTCTCTCTTTGTCTTTCTCTCTCTCTCTCTCTTTCTCTCTCTCTTTCTCTTTCTCTCTTTCTCTTTTCCTCTTCTCTCTTTCCGTGTTTCTCTCTGTCTCTCTGTCTCTCTGTCTCTTTTTCTCTCTTTCTCTTTTTCTCTCTCGCTTTCTCTTTCTCTCTGTCTCTCTTTCTTTCTCTTTCTCTCTGTCTCTCTGTCTCTCTGTCTCTCTTTCTCTCTTTCTCTCTTTCTCTCTTTCTCTCTTTCTCTCTCTCTCTCTCTCTCTCTCTCTCTTTCTCTTTCTCTCTTTGTCTCTCTTCCTCTCTTTTTCTGTTTGTCTCTTTCTCTCTTTCCCTCTTTCCCTCTTTCCCTCTTTCCCTCTTTCTGTTTCTCTCTCTCTCTCTCTCTTTTGACTCTTCTTCTGAGCTCCTCTCTTTCTCTGTTTCTCTCTTTCTCTCTTTCTCTCTTTCGCTCTTTCTCTCTGTCTCTCTTTCTCTCTTTCTCTTTTTCTCTCTTTCTCTGTTTCTCTCTTTCGCTCGTTCCGTATTTCTCTTGTTCTCTCTTGTTCTCTCTTTCTCTCTGTCTCTCTGTCTCTCTGTCTCTCTATCTCTTTGTCTCTCTTTCTCCCTTTTTCTGTTTCTCTCTTTCTCTCCTTCTCTCTTTCTCTCTTTCTCTCTTTCTCTTTTTCTCTCTTTCTCTCTTTCTCTCTGTCTCTCTGTCTCTCTGTCTCTTTCTCTCTCTCTTTCTCTTTCTCTCTTTATCTCTTTCTTTCTCTTTGTCTCTTTGTCTCTCTGTCTCTCTGTCTCTCTGTCTCTCTTTCTCTCTTTCTCTCTTTCTCTCTTTCTCTCTTTCTTGCTCTTTCTCTCTTTCTCTCTATGTCTCTCTGTCTCTTTCTCTCTCTCTTTCTCTTTCTCTCTCTCTCGTTCTCTTTCTCCCTCTCTCTCTCTCTCTTTGTCTCTCTTCCTCTCTTTTTCTCTGTTTTCTCTTTTTCTCTTTTTCTCTTTTTCTCTTTCTCTCTTTCTCTCTTTCTCTCTTTCTCTCTTTCTCTCTTTCTCTCTTTTCTATTTTTTTTATATTTCTCTCTTTCTCTCTTTCTTCTTGGTTGTCTTTTATTGTTGTTGCCTTGCTGATGTTTGTGTTTGTTTTCTCTCTTTTCACTCTCTCTCTCTCTCTCTCTCTCTCTCTCTCTCTCTCTCTCTCTCTCTCTCTCTCTCTCTCTCTCTCTCTTCTCTCTCTCCCCCTTGTCAAACTACATGCTTCACCACTTGCATTTGTGTTGCATGTATGTATACTACCGCAGGCCTTGAGCCTCAGCCCGACTACACCAGGAGAAAACAAAAGGCTGCAGCAGACTAGACTTGTTTATGTTACAACAACAGCATTGCACTTGCACTTGTAGTAATTGTTACTCGCATTTTTTAACGTGCTAGCGGAGTTGAGATCCTAAACATAGGGGAGCTCCAGTATTCAGCAGTAAGTACTACAACACCTGCAACAGCAATCACATGCCAAACTACTACGACATGTCAGGAGAAGCAGCATCAGCTTCAGCGCAATAAACTACAGGAGCAGAGAACGTGCCAACATCAGAAACAGTAGGAGCCACGACTACAGGAGCAGGAACAGAGCAAGAAAACGGCGTTGAGAGACTACATCGATACAAACTGCCACCACCCTTCTTCACTGGTGACTACTCCTAGTGTAAAGAATGGCTGTTCAAGCTACAAGCATACCTCGGACTCATAGACCGAGACTTTGACCTGGTGCTACAACTAGCACAAGTAGCTACACGACAGATTGAGGATGCAGACATCAGAACACACGTGACACATACTCGATCCTACACAAGCAAGCAAAGCAGTAGACCTCTCCAGATGTCTACACTACATCAACATCTGTCAGGGAGCAGTAGCTACAGTAGTAAGGCAAAACCGCTACAACGCAAATGGATGTGAAACACTACGACTCTCGCGCAACAGGTTCAGCCTACCAGTAGGAACACGAAGCGTTGGCTATCTCACGAAGCTACTGGAACCTACATTCAACGAAGCACAGTTTGTAGAGCAATACCTACAATGGGAATACGACACCAACCGCTACGAGAAAGACAATGGCACAGCACTACCAGATGGAAAAAATGACAACATGTGGAGGAAAGGAAGAAACTACAAAGGCAAAGGAAAAGGCAAAGGCCACTACAAAGGAAGCAAAGGCAAAGGCAAGTACAGGAGCAAAGGACACTACAAGGAATTTGACAAAGGCAACAAAGGAAGCTACAACAAAGGAGGATACAACAAGAGTGAAGGAAAAGGCTACTCAGGATCCAAAGGCTATGGATCAAGTACAGAATAACTATGGCGGCTAAAGAAAGCCATGTATGGACTACGCAGTTCACGTAAAGCATGGCAGGATTATCTGGCTGAGATACTGAAAAGGCTCAGCTGTGTAAGACCAAAGTCAGAACCTAACGTCTACACCAATGCGACTCGCGACTGCTACATCATGGTCTATGTGGACGGTACTTGGCAAGACTACTGTCGGCTCCATCTTCGAGGCCATCCAGAAGCAGGTTCTACTCAAGCACATTGGCTACCTCGAGCCTGGCAAACCACAACAATTCCTGGGAAGAAACATCGACCACTTCGGCAACTACTGCAACCTTGGACTACAGGACTCCTACGTCGACAACATGATCGAGGAGACTGGAATGACTAACTGCAACACGCTGACCGCTCCAGGAATCGCCCACGGCCCATTCTTTTGCCCCGTCTCACTACGTTTAGTGCCCGCTACAGCCATGGCCGCTGCTGATTCCACCATGGGCGTCACTACACCCAATCAAGTTTTGACTCCACGCGCAGAGGAGACTACAAACTCAAGTGACCAAGGGTCACTACCACCACCTCACTACGACGAGAACAACTACCACTTCAACCACACTACACCCAACACCACACCTTGCTACCACCAATCAGCCATCATGGAACAACTACACATCACCGAGTACCAGACAACTCAGACACCACTTCTCCACAACAACACTCACTATGTTCAACTCTTCACTGCATTCACGCTTGAAGAGTACCAACTACTTTCACTTCAACAATCGGCGCCACTTGGACAACTTGACTTCACACGACCGCTACGGTGCATCCCAGGTGAGTTGAGGATGCCGCACTACAACTCCGCGCCACTCAGCATCACACTTGCAGAGGCATGCGACGTGCACTACTACCGCACGACATCGCTGCACACCGCAACAGGCCACAATGACAGCTACATTGTTGTCAGACTACATATTGAGCAAGAGCTACTTTTGAGGTACCTTACCTCAGGACAATTCGTTCACTTCACTCGCGACTACATCTCCTACATGCTCTCCATCCAGACAACGAACTACCTTCCAATCTCACAACATTCACAACTCACCTACAAGGTGGACTATGACATGGGCAGGTTCACTGAGATCTACAGTTTGAAGAACAACTACATCTGGAACTACCGCATGCCCTTGTTCCTACCTGACCTACTTCACTACCTCAACAACCACGAACAACTACATGACTTCACAAGGCAATCACTACAATCCTTTGCAAAAGCTTCCGCTACTATGGGTTCACACTACTTACAATGACAGACCTCACCGCACAACAGAGACTGCAACTTCACCACTACCTCCGCAACTACCAACACCAGGTAGCACCGCCAGAGGTAGACGACAATCGACTACGTGGACTTCACCGACCACTTTGTGATCAACTACTTCGCCTCCTTGAATCACCGACTGGAGCAGGTACGCAACTACCGGCTTCAACATTGGAGACTACATGTTTGAGCTACGGGCTTGGCTACAACTACAGGTGCTTCCTCACCAACTCCGTTCAGTTCGATTACATTCTGGACTGAAACCTGAACAGCGTGAGCTACTGAGGACTACACCTCTTTTCTTTTCACTACAGTAGCATGGATGAACAACAACAGTTTTCATCACTACTGGCAACCCTTTGTTTTCCACTCCAGTTGAAAGATACTACAGAAAGATCTTTTAACTGAGGGGCCGTGTCAAACTACATGCTTCACAACTTGCATTTGTGTTGCATGTATGTATACTACTGCAGGCCTTGAGCCTCAGCCCGACTACACCAGGAGAAAACAAAAGGCTGCTGCAGACTACATTTGTTTATGTTAATTTATGTTAACAACAACAGCATTGCACTTGCACTTGTAGTAGTTGTTACTCCGATTTTAACGCCCCTCTCTTTCTCCATGTAAAAGCAAAATGTCACCGAGTTCTTGGAGTTCGACCCCGCTCAAAACTCTGCATAGCTGCGCAAAGTAAAAAGGGAAATTGCAAATAAACCAAGTGTTCGAAGGTCAACTCCCGGAAGTGCACAGAAGGTTCAGCCTGTGATGGTTGCGAAGCAGTTCGCGCGGCCGTGCCAACGGTCCGTCTCCGAACCCATTCTGCAACCGTTCCGAGACCGCCGCCATCTGTCGATCCGAATGGCGCGAACACAGCTGGAGGGGCCGAATTCTTGAACAGGGCGCCTTCCCCCAGTTCAAAACGGTTTTCTAGTTAGCTTTTTTCGTGGCTTCTCCACCGACGCGATTTAGCTCCAGTGCTATGAATGAACTTCCTTTGGCTATAGTGGCGATTGGGGTATTTGTTACCTCCGGGCTTCAGATGATGGACTTTTCTGGTTACCTACTCTGAGTTTTCCTCCAAATGGTGAATCCACATTGGGATAAAGGGAAACCAAGAAGAAAAACAACTTCCTCGATGGGCCTGCTGGAAACAATGGACCCTTACCCTGGGCGCCTCCAACGCAAGGCGCCACAAAGCGAGAGCTGGAACAGGCGACGGGGGCCAAAGTGCAGGTGAACATCTCGGAGGCCGGGTGTGTGTGTGTGTGTGTGTGTGTGTCCGTGTGGGTCTGTGTGTCCATGTGGGTGGGTGTTTGGATTTTTGAATGTTTGGGCGGTTGGGCGTTTGTTTGTTTTTGTTTGTTTGTGTGTTTTGGATTTGGTTTGGTTTGTTTGTTTGTTTGGTTAGTTGTTTGGGGTGGCTTGGCTTGGCTTGGCTTGTCTTGGCTTGGCTTGTTTGTTTGTTTGTTTGTTTGTTTGTTTGTTCGCTTGTTCGCTTGTTTGCTTGTTTGTTTGTTTTGAGGGTACCCTTTGAGGTTGGTCAAGAAGGACACCAAAAGTAAACAGGGTCCCCCTATTTCGACATATGGACACCATCGGTGTCCTGTTTAGGTGAGTTTGGCCCAATGCTGTGCCGTTGATTCCCCCAAACAGACACGTACGATGACGTGAGAAGAGTGGTGTATGTATGGCTGGAGGGTGGGCTTGGCGATCCAGGGTGGACAACCCAACCGCTATGTATCTCTCTAGCCGTTCTGAACCAGTAAGTCGGACACAGGAACCGTTTTCGTGTGCCAACCCACCTGTAAAGCAGACTGCGTCTAAACGCAGTTTGCTGGCAAACGTGCAGGTCAACCATTTGCAATTGTGATGTATGTCCCACGATCTCAATACCCGAAACATTCAGCAGTTTCCCTGCAGGGACACCTGGAGCTCTCCGGCAATACCTCGTCCGTGCAGGCAGGGGGAAACATACCAAAGCTCGCTACTCGCGTTGTTTGGTTTCGTTTAGCCTTGTGAGAAGTGACCAGGTTTGCCTCAATCTCACTTTCTGCTGGAAGGTGAATCCCACTGCCAACTTGGCTGAACACCCAAGCGGGCGGTGGTTTACGTTGCGACAGGCAGCCCAGCGGCTCTTGGCTGAGCGGGTGCGCTACGTAGCCTTCGAGGCCAAATGGGACGTGGAAGTCGGATTTTAGTTGTTTGCTACCACACCTGCGCTCAGTGGCTGATTGAAACATCCTGTTTTTATGCTTTGTTTTTCCAATTTGTATCTTTTGTTTTGTTTGTTTGTCCGTCTGTCTGTCTGTCTGCCTGTCCGTCTGTCTGTCTGTCTGCCTGTCCGTCCGTCCGTCTATCTGTTTGCCTTTTCTTTCTGACTGTTTGTGGTCGTTATTTTCTGCCAGGTGCCCCGGGATGCAGCCAGCACAGTGCTTGGCGAGCGCGGGCAGGCTCGCCAGGAGTTGGAAAGCTGCACTGGGGCGCACCTTTGGGTGGAGCTCGGCGTCTTGGATCCAAGCGTCTGGGGTAAAACGAGCTCACTCTGAGGGGTTGTCAAATTAAAAGGCGCTTTTGGGTGCCAACTTCAAAAGGCAGCACAAGGCACCACCAGGGTCCCAAAAGGGGCATACCTTTGACAACCCCGCAAGTAGGTTTGATTTGGGATCCAATGCTTATGTTGGGTTTTGGAATTGGAGTTGCAGATTCAACCTCGTAGCGTCCAGCTCCGCCAAACCTCCTGAGCTATCCTGGAGCCCTGAGGGAATCCGCATGGGAGGGGTGGGGTATGCTCAACAGGTATGGAGGGCCATTGAAGTGCAATCTCCGTTTGAAATCACAGCAAATTCTCGAGTTGCAGGGTTTCGCTTATTCCCTGCTTGCAATGTGTGGTGGAGCCTTTGGTGGACATCAGACATGCAGGAGATGTATGTCCAACCATCGTGCCCATTTGGCAAGAGATCGTGGCCAAAGAGATGTTTTGTGTCTCCAAATGGCCTATGTAATCTGCGCATGTGCAAGATCCAATCTGACGCTTACGGCGCAATGCAACAGTCACTTACAACAACATGACATAGCACAACTCCATAGAAAACTACACTACTCCATGGTGTGTGATGCATTATCCGGTGCATTCACCATCAAGATCAAGCGGAAATGACTGCCCACGATTGGCTTATAGTCAGTGTGCCTGACATGACTGTCAACAGGATATTAGTTTGCATCCCCGTGAAATTTGCCTGTCCAGCAAGGAGCAGCAGTAGCAGTTGTGTCTTCTGGCTTGAGCAGCATGTGCGCATTTGCAGATGACATCAGAGCGGCCGAGCATGAACTGCGTTTGAAGCATGGTAGAACATACAGTAATGATATATACAGCGCAAAATATGTCAAAACAGGGGGACCTCCTGAATTGTGATGTTCCTGTCAATTTTCCCTTAAACCAAAGCCCAACATGGTACCCTCAAAACCACATACGGCAGCGTCAGCGTGGCGTTCTCGGCGCGTCCGCCCAAGGCGACCCCTCTGTGGTGCAGATCGCCGGCAGTGCCACAGCTGTCGACCAAGCCGTTGCTGCTTTGGATTTGCGAGTTACTCAGGAGCCCCTTGCCGGGGGTCACAATTTCTCTAATCTGCTGGGTTCCATGAAGCAAAAACACCATAGAACGTCTAGGCTGCCACGGTGAGAGCAGCACTCACTTGTGTGTACCAAGCGCTCGCAAACTGTCAGGAGCGCTTTGATTGCCCTCCCTTCGCAGAGCGCCGAGCACGGGAGGTGGGATTGGAGGCTTCCATCGTTTTTCTCCCAAACCGAGCCTTGGGCAAACCATTGATCCGCGCTGAGATGGAAAGGATTTTAGGAGAAGGGAATATGGAAACAGGAATTTGGGCAGAGAGCTTCGGAAAAGCCAATTAAAGCGTGCTGAAACTGAAAGACCCTGAGGCCTCCAATGCCCTGCCGGTTTTCCGATGTGCTTTCTGGATGGGGTTCGGAACCCCTTCAAGATTTGCCCAAAAACACCCTGACCAAATCCTTCGCTGATGGCAAGCGCCCGGAAAACACCAAGAAACAACGGCGACCTTTCCCCCATGGAACGCTCGAAATCAGCGCGCGCAGGTGGTGCGGAGCTTGCGGGAGCTGCTGGCAGCGGAAGGGCGGTCCGGGGAGTGCCGCGTCCAGGTGGAGCGCCTGCAGGAGCAGCCCAAAGGAAAACGTCATGGACCCCCCCCTTTTGGCATTTTTGTTGGGGGACGCACCATGGGGTGGCCCAATCTTTTGAGAAGCACCCAAATTTGGTGTTGTGTGGTTTTTGGAGGGATTCTTGTTGGGATTGGTTGAAAGTTGAAAGGGAAGCCAAAGGAACGCTACCAATACAGGGCGTCCTCATTTGAGACACCCAAACGGGAAAGGCCCTTCCTTTTAGTTCCCTCAGACCAAGCTCAAAGATGGTGTGTCATCTTGACCAAATTCAAGGTGAATCGAAAGGAGGAATCATAGGTGATGGAAACAACTGAAGTTTGCCATTCCTGATAAGGAACTAGGGAACACTGAAGTTACACTGAAGGAAAACCCTGTGGCAAGCGATGTTGGGCCGGTGTTGAACCAAAGCACGCCCTTTTCTGGAGGCTCAAGACATATTCGAACAGTGTTCATTCCGTATCCGTTTTGGATGAAGACTGAGGTGAAATAGTCAACTTGCGCACGAAGCCATGAGTCTTGCAAGCCGGCAATGCGCATGGTCGGGCTGGCTGCCACAGACCGTCACCAAGCGGAAGTTGGGTGAGGTAGTCAGATCCGATCGGATTCAATGCGGAGATTGTGGAGTAGAACTTGTCCTTCACTGGGAACATAGGCCAAGACCCGTCCGTGGCGCCACTTGGGCACGGTCCAATTGATCGGATCAACGCCCAAGAGCCCAAGATGCTCGTGATGCGGTGCCGGTCTTCGTCGACCGCAGCTTGGTTGCTCGTTGGTAAGACCTTGAACCTTGGGGCCTTCTGAAAAATGACTAGTGACTGTTTCACGAGTATCGAACAATGTTTGACTTTTTGGGGGTCGAAGACCAAGGCAGCGGAGATCACAGGGAAGCTTGGACTCCATCAACTGCGGGCCCAGCAGTGGTTCATTCAGTCAGCCTGCGCCAACACAGGTGACGGTCTGTGCGAGGGTTTGGACGTGTTGTCGCGCACGCTTTCTTCCAAGCGATGAGTTGGGTGTGTGTCCTTATGTAGTGGATGCATCCGCGGGATTGAGGCCAAGACCGTAGTCCGTTTTTGCGGCTGTTTCAATGTGGCTTGATGTGCCCCCAGATGCATGCTACACGCTTGACCTCGAAAGAAACCAGGAAAAGCGTGTGCATGAGGTGATGTTGGGCGATTGAGCCTATGCCACCTGCGCGGCGCAAAGTTATGTTGTCTTGCGCAGGATAAAAGTTCCATCAAGCTCGTGGGCAACCGGGACGTAGTGGCAAAGGCTGGTTTTCAATTGAACGAGAGCCAGTCCATGGCAGTTGAGCTGCGTGTATGAATTCCCTGTTTGCGTGTGACCCGAGCTGTGGCAAAACACCTAGTGGTCAGAGAGCTGTCAGAGAGTTCACTGGGGCAATGGAGCCACCCATGCAGAAAAAATGAAACATACTTGTTGGCTCGTGTAGAGACTACGCCGCGAAGTTGCAAAGAGAAGGTTTCTATCAAGAAGCAACTCGATTGGTAGGCTCGGGCTTTGGTGGAGGCGCAGGTGGCTTTTGAGGAGCTCCCGCTGACAAAGGCGAGCTGTGCTGAAAGCGTTCCGTTCAGAGCCGATCAAAAGAACAGGGCTGACAGCAAGTCTTGGAACAAAAATTGGTGCGCGGCTTGCCTACAAGACCTGGCTGGGCCATCACGCCGTGCCGTGCAGACCACAACAAGTCCGGCTATTTGGAAGGTGGTTGGCTCAAAGAAAGCGTCAAGTTGCAAGTGCGTCAGGCACAGGCGCTGCGACTGGTGCAGGCGGCACAGCTGAAGTTGCTGAGGCAGTCGACGCTCAGCTCTGGCTATGAATATTCAATCAGCGCCCTCCAAAATGGTTGGGCATGCAACTGCATGTTGAGAGATGCCCACCAGAAGGTCCCCCAGTTGAATTGTACAACCACATTGGTAGCA